ACTACACAGCTATAAAAAGAGATTAAATCATGACATTTGTGAAAACATGGATGGAACTGGAGGGGATTTTGCTGAGTCAGTCAGAGCCAAAATAAAGACTATCATCTGTAGAACTGAGGCTGCAAGAGGAGAGAGGGTGGAGAGTGAGGAGCATTGGGGCAAAGGGACCCAATGGACTATGATGGGAGATCATGGGTGCTTCGGTATTGATTAAGGTGTGGAAACACGTATCCGAAGAGATGTGAACTTACACCTTGAGCACAACTTGAACCATAAACAGTATTATAAACCAATGTTAACTCAATAAAAAAATTAAAAAACCCTCTTTGAAGCTATTTATCACAGCATTTCTCAAACTTTTTTGAATTCAGAGTCAATCTGTTATAGGACAGGGAGGGGGGCAGCCCAAATCCCGCAAAACTCCCTATTCTAAATGGGTGCTGCCATCCGCCGCATCAACACAAAACATATGAGACTTTAATGGGAAGGAACTTTAATAAAAATAGGAAACAATACAGGTAAGGAAAAGAGTCTAGTTTCTAAATGAAGCACCCAAAGTTACCCGTCCCCTCGTGGGTAAAACTCCATCCAAATGGGATTGGCCCAGAGCAAGGCCCCAAAGCCTGCCACAAGTCTAAAGCATCTTCCAGTGGGGACCCACAGAAAAGGGTCAGAAACAACCAGACAAGCCCGGAAGGAAAAGAGCAAAATCAACATCAAGATAAAAGCTGCCATTGTCACCTCCCCATGGGTCTCACCCACATCTGTGTCACCCCGTCCACGACCAAAAGACAAGCGCAGTTTCTTCACGTGTCTCTAGGCTCCATGCACCTCCTCCAGGTCTCCTGGCTCCATCCTGCTTCCTTCCTCAGTCCCTTCTGCAGCTTCTCCTCTCCCTGCTCAGCTCCACCCTCTCTTGGGTGGGGCAGGGAACCTCCCCCTTTCCTGGGGACCACCCTGTTACACTTCTAAATGGCAACATGTATTAGTATGTCAGGAGACATCAATGTTTTATGGTGCAATTTGGGCAACATTAAGTTAGTGTGTTTAGGATAAAATTCATTTCATTCAGAAATATTTCTAGTACACAAAGATGGAGAAGATTTTTCTTACTTGAACTTAACTATTGAAATAGGGCTTCGGTTAACAGGTAGATTTTTTCATGCTATCAAACCAGATGGATTCAAAAGCTCATCTGCTTTATAAAACCCCTTCCAGTGTTCCACGTCCTCTCCCGACTCAGTGCAACAGCTGCAGCTTCTACCAGATGCAGCCTTCCTCATCCCTGATACCCCTGGGGGACTCAAGCACATGGGGGCAATGGAAAGCCCAGGTCCCTGAATACAGCATCTTAGCAGCCACTGTGTAGGGGACACTGTGTATTCAAAGCAAACCTGGAATCTACTTCACATAGCTTACAAGTAAGCAGAGGAAGTGGCCTCGGGAGGGAATAACATATGTGATAAATAATGCATTTCTAATTTCACCACTCACACCTGCTTCTCTGTGACCTGCTCAGCAAGTTAAAAGAACTCTGAGTTTCTTGGTACAAGAAAACTCCATGCACAATGATGATCTGCTCCTGTGCTCTCTGCCTCAGGAGAGATGCAGCAGTATCTTGCTTTACTTGAACACAGCTCCGAGGACAAGGGTATCTTTGTGGAGCACAACCTCTGGATTTGCTACTCTAGAGAATTCTGACTACCACATGGCTACAGCTTTCCAGCAGTAGAAGTGCATTTGAATTCAGGGCATGCCATGGTTCCATCTACCTGCTCAGGCATCTTATAAAGAGATGCTCCTGGTCTGAGGGGTGCCTTCTTCCCTGTGCACCCAAGGTCCCGGAGCCTCAGGGCACTTATTTGCTTAGTCCTTGCCCAGAGGCTGTTGTTTTCTGCAGAAAGCAGCCACACTCATCTCCCTTATCTTCTCAATTACTCTTTTAAAAATGAAGAGGGATTAGAGTCTCTGATCTGTCCCTGCAGGGCCAGCTCTTTCCCTCTGCAATATAGATCTCTGGAGCAATACAGATGGCCCCCATTTAGGATGGTTCAAGCCAAGATGGCTCTATTTAGGATTGCTTAACTTTATGAACTCTTGGTACCATCTTGTCTACTAATTCTATATGGAGGCGGGGAGCCAGAGTTCCCAGGAACAACTTACTAAGGGTCTATCAGGATGTGACCCCATCCTAAACTGAGGAAGATCTGTACTTATAAGTTGTTGGCAAAGACTTCTGCTAGGAGTCCTTAAAAGATCAGGGAGGTAACTTCCACACCTATTCCTAAGTTTTAATTGAGGAGTATAGCAGATCACTGAAAAAAGGAACTGATTTAAGAGACAGAGACAATATTGAAGAGTTGAACCCCCAGCCAGAAAACAGGCGGGGTTTGAAATACAAACTTTTCAGTTCCCCTCTTCAGTCCCCAAACAGCACTGCCACCCTTCACCTCCCATAGCTCAAAAGAGACGTAAGAACGAAAACACTAAATTAATGATTCCTTAACTGATAAAACTGAAACAAAAAAGACCAAATAACTAAACTCTGAAAATATAACTGGTTAACCACTTCTTTATATTTTTATTGAACTTTTTAAAAATTACTTCTTTTTAAAGTTTATGCCCAGTATGACACTTAAATGGGAAAACACAATTACAATTCACAAACTGTGGCAAAAATAACACACACCCCATCAGGAATTACACCAAACCCTTCCTTTTTATTCATTCAAAAGAGTCCAATACACAAGTGTCAAATATGAGGACTGTCAATTTTTTTTTTTTCTCAAGGGGGAAAACATTTATTCTGGCAGCACTTTTACAATTCCAGGAAGTGGTTTTGATACCACAAGTTGCAGGAATAGAAACCATAACAAACTTGGAGGGCATTTATTTGCAAGGCCAGGGACTCGTTGGTTGGAAAAGACTCTTCTTGTGCTTAGTGAGATGCCTGTCAGTCTGTGTGGCTGAGTCTTTCCAGGTGTGGAAAGAGAAAGCGGAATTTCCTGCCTAGTAGGCCAAAGTTGTTCCAGAGCAGAGTGTTTTCTGTGTTCAACCCTTCCCCCACCCTAAAGCAAGTTCTCAAGCTTTTCTGGAGCTTCTTTTGGTCACATGACTCTGTCATGATGACCTTTTTGTTAAAACACATGTGACACCACAATTTCTTCTTACACTGCTTCTCTAGGGTTCAGATAACAGCACGAAACATCACTTGTCAAAATATAGCAGATATTAAGAACATGGGCATTTGTATTCATAATAATGGCAAACATTTGGCAGGGTATGTCACCCGAAGGAGCATATTTAGTTATTGTTTATCATTTAATATGGTGCCCTAGGGAGTTAGCCCAAAGTCACACACTGATGAGTCTTTTCAAAAGTCTGGTCCGAAGTCCATTCATTTGAGAGCTGAGGAACTGTTACATGCCAATTAAAAAAACTTTTATGCCCAACAATTCAATAGTCCATAAAGTAATTACACGTTACCATTCAGATCACACTCACACACACACACACATGCATGTGCACACACACACTCACACGAGAACTGTGACAACAGGACTAACCAGGTTCATATGTGACTGTATTCAAGGAAAATGAAATCTCCAACTTGAGGTGTCATATTCAAGTATTAAAAACTGCAAAAATCATCTGATCCCATTCAAGATTTTAGGATCTTAAGAAATGGAAGTTCTGGAGTTAGTGAAGTTAACTCCTGGGGCACAGAATATTTTACAAAAATCGATTTGTGATTTTTCACAATGCAGTCACTTGCTTGCTATTTCTCTTGAAAATATGTCGAGACTTCATATATTGTGGCATTCTAAGAGTCAATACTTTATAAAAGAAAAGAATAATACCAGCTGACTCACTTGTCTTACACTGGTGAGAAACAATTTTACACATTTTCAATTGACATGCATGGAGGTGGCAGATGTAAACAGAGACCTTTACATTCTTCAGAGAATGTGTTACTATTGCAGCAGATGCTGTTTGGCCCCAATTAGGAGTATAGTAGAATGTGATTCATTTGGTTTGATTTTTTCAAGTTTTACTTCATGGAGATTCTAAAGCAAAGGTCTGACTAGTGCCTGGCAGCAGAATATCTAATCAATGGCTCCGTATTTATAAATAATCAATGTGGGATTTTGCTCTCCAATTAGGCAGCTCACTATCTTAAGGTCTGACAGATGTGGAGGGCTTTGGAAATGCTCTGCTAAACTTCACAGACTGTTCTGGGGGGGGAAAGTACTTATTAGCAGAACTCTCTGCATGCTTCAGAACTGATTCCTGATGATCTTAAGCTACGCAAGGATTCAGGCTTTCCATGGATATCTTGGCCCCCCGTGTCCTCCCACCTGAAGAATCCTAACACCACCAGCATATAAACCAGTGACGAATCTAGTTAACACGAGGTCTGCAGTGAGGAACACTGTCCCTGGCACTAGCAACATTGGGAAAAGACAGGGAATGATTCCCCACACCCCTGCCCAGAAGTTTGTAGGCAGGGACCTTCATTTAGAAGGGGAGCAGGGCACTGAAAATATTTGAAGACTCTGCTGATCGCTGGTAACTTCTGTGAACCAACACTTAATCCACTTAATCCCTGGGTGGCTAAAGAGATCTTTCGTTTTTTTTCCAATTTGAGAAGGATTAAAGAATAAAGAATAAAGAAATAAGACCAAAAGGTCTTATGCTAAAATAAGAAACCAGCCCCATCTTGGCACAGTTCTCATGCAGAATATTGCACCCAGTGTTAACTAATGCTAGAAGCTTCAAACGGTATAAATTTAAATGTATTTGCATATTATAAAAATAAAGATAAACATATACATATTTTACACGAGTTACGGAACAGCTATGAATGGTCAGTCGCTCCCTCTTTCACATTTAACAGAACCGAAAGCCGAGTGCTCTAAATACTGCCACCTGGACTGGACTATGGCTTATATGTGCACAGAAAACAAAATCCCTGAGAAGCCATTCGACTTTTTTTTTTCTTTTCTTCAAGTAGCGCTCTCCTTGGAGGATCACAGTTCTGAGGTTCAGGTTGTAAAACATTGCTCCATATGCTCTCCCCTTCTCTCCCCGCCCCTCCCACCTCATCCACAGGCCAGGTCTGTGCCCTCCTCCTACAGCACCCTGACCACAGTTTTACTCAAGTTCACCCACCACGCTGGGGCGTGAGGAGGTGTGCCAGGTTCGAAAGGTGGTCCAGGTGAGTTCTGATGCTCCTTTCTCATGGAAATTCCACAGCCATAAGTCACTGGTTTCTGTGCTTTTCACCAACGTTCTTCCTATACAGGTAAATGAGAAAAAAGTAGAGATGACAGAAGGCAACAGAAGGGTATTCTTAGTTATAAGAAAAGGAAGAATATAAATCTATTTATTTGCATAATTTTCCTTTCTACTCCTAGGATTCCTTATAAAAATGCAAATGTCCATTACAGAGTTTGACTAGAAAACGAGTCACACATTTTTGTGATGCTAAATTCAGACAGAGAGAGGGAACTACACTAATTTTAACCACTCCATTGTAATATCACAGTTTAACAAGATTTTAATTATGAACCCCAAACTCCAAACTCAGAACTGTTTTGTTTCCTTTCAAGAAACACACACAGACAATACTAAATAGCCCTGCGGGAGTACAAATATGTGCTAAAAAGTGAGAATGAGTGTCCATTGAGGCTAAAAAACATGATTTTATTTAAAGCGCTAGAAGCAAGGCTGCCAAACTAAAGTCTGAAGCTGGATGAATATACAATGAGGAGACCGCTGTGTCTTCAGCTAATTATACAAAGTGGCATTTAATTCAGAGAAAAGGGTAGAGAAAAACATGTCAAATGTCCCCATTCCTTATTTCAGTTGTCCTATCATGACATGTGATGTGATTTTTTTAAAGTGTTTTAGCATTAGCTATTAAAGAAAAGGATCTGCTTCTCCACCCTCCATCCCAAATCAATGTTGCTTGACCTTATGGAAGCTGGTAACTTTAGAATCCACCAAAGATATTTTTCACATACAAGAATGGGGTGAGCATGATGTCAATAATGTCACTGAAAATATGCACTTCCGCCTACGGACCACACAGGTACCACCCGCCAGGAATCACGCAGTTCACGTAGGTGTATCGCCTGACTGATCCTTAACTCACAGCGACTTACTGAGTAAGCTCTGTCTTGCTACACATTTTACCAAGGAAACTAAGTTTCCAAGAAATTAAATAACTTCCCTGAGGGTACGCACCAGTGAGCTGTAGAGCCAGCCCTGAACTAGGGTTATTAGACTCCAAAGCATGCTCAACTGCTAAAATCGAGGTTGGAATAGCTGGGGCCCAAGAGACAGCTTCATGTTCTGCAGCACTCAGCCGTAAGGACATTTTGAAGGTCTGTTGATACAGTAAACTTCTCAGTAGAGAAAGCTTTGAAAATTGCCTTGAATTCAAGTAATAATAAAGCTAACTGCAATGAGGATGGCGGAGTGAAAAGGCGGCCTCAACCCAGCGGCTAACTCTAGGATGGGAAGTGTGGGTTGAGGTGAGAGTGGTGCGCCAGGCCAATGCTTCTCAGACTCTATCAAGCCTTCAGACAGACATATAGACAGCCATGCTGGGCTTTCAGCTCCCCTGAGTCACATGCAAGACTGAGAATCAAAAGAATACCCACTCAAGGGCACCCGGAGGGCAGGCTTCACTGCTGAAAGGAAGAAGAGGAAAACTCAGTTAAGTACTTTCTACATCGATTCTACCTTTCAGTTTGGGCTCTCAGGGGAAGAAAAGAGCCATCAAATCACCAAAGCTCCCCACCTCTACTGCTTCTCCATCTTTCCACAAGCTTGTCTTCTCCATCAAGATCATGCTCAAAGGCAACTTTCTGGGACTCTTCCAGATTCTCCCAGGTAGAGTTCTTTCTTCTCTGTGCCGAAAGGACTTTGTTGAGATACCTTTCCCAGCAGGTATCATATTTCAATTGGGATTAGACCCTCACAAACTTGTCTGTTTATGGCTTTGACTCCCAGTCTCCCCAAGAAGGCTATTTGATTCTTAAGGACAAGTCTGTCCTCCTTATTTCTGCAGCTTTCCACACCTGGCACAATGCCCAGCTGAGGGCAAATACTTGTCAATATTCATCTGCTGAATGAACGAGGAATAAGATGTGAGAAAAAAGTCACAGGTCAAAAATATCCAAGCTATGATGTGAGGATGACTCCAATGGTGTGTGTATGTGCGTGTGCATGTGTGTATGTGTGTGTGTGTGTGTGTGTGTAAGAAGTGTCAAGGAGCAATGAAGGAAAAGAGTGACTTCAGTCAGGAGGGCTTCTCAGAGGTGACATATGACTTGGCCTTAGGGACAATGTGTCTTCCTCGTCCAGGAGGGGAGGGGTGTCACCCATGTCAGAGCAGGGTGTCTGGAAAATGACTGTGATTGCCCAAGACTTTGAACTTGATCTTGTAATGACCAGGAAGTCATTCACGGGTTTTAACTAGGGAGAGGAGTGATGGGGTCTAACCTGGAAAGATAACATTGTTTTGAAGGATAAAAAAGAATAGAAACTAAGACTTGAGACTCAATCACAGAAATCTTGTCATAGATGGATATAGTGGAAGGGACAGTCTGAAGTGAGTTCACTTATGTCAAGACACTGGTAAGGTGATGGATGTCAGTGGCAGACTGCATATGGGGGAGAAAGGAAGGACTCAAATGGGAGAGACTCCTAGTGTGGCAAATGGGTAGAAAGCCACACCATCACCTGACACAGGAACCAAGACTGAGGAAGAGCTGGCATGAGGGAGTGGAGGAAACTCAGTAATTCACACAGGGCACCCAAGGGAGTTGATGGGTAACAGAGACCCAAATCACCGCAGGTTATCAAACCTGCTTTTCATAAGATGCAGCAAAATTATTCAAGGTGTTTAGAAGCTTAGGCTGAAAACAAAGCCATACCACGTTGTAGAACCAGGTCTTAGATTTTCTAACTTTGATGCTTTGATTTCTAGGGCTTTGCTTCCCTGAAGGAACTGCCCCCTCTCAGTGTTAGCCAGTTCTGAGAGACAGTAAATAGCTGAAACGTGAGTGTGCTTCTCAAATGCAGCCCAGCTAACGAAGAGCCCACACCCAACCACCTGTATTGGCTTCTCACACTCCAGACCACTATCCACCTACACTACTCACCCCAAGGTTCTAGCAGCAGTCACCTCTGAGCTGCTGACATTTTTCAATCTGGTCAGTCCCAAATCTGCTCAGCCTGCCTGGCCTATACCTCCCCACAGAAACTACAGTCAAGGCCTTCCTGCCTCCTGGTGATTCCTTATGTGCCTTCACTGCCCTGCCTCATGCTTTCTGATGCCCATCCCTCCGCTTCCACCCAGCATGGCATGCCTTCTCCACATAATCTCCTTCCAACAGCAGTGGTTTCCTGACCTCACCTCAATGTCCCAATCATGTACCACGTTTCAAAACAAATATGCAAGTGAGAGTTTCGTAAAACAGCACCCAACTTGTGGATGTGGGGCCCCACCGGGCCACTCCGTCACTGTGTCACTGTGGGAACATGGCTAGGTCTGGGGCTGAGCACTCCCTGCCCTAGGTGACTTGCGGGATTGCTAGGAGAATCAAGCGAGTCAGGGAGTTTCGCTCTGAGGAGTTGATCCAACACAGAAAGCATCTGTGACAACAATATGAAAGAAAGGACACCACTCACGTCCCATTTCTCTTTTGAAGAGGGGTAGGACAATGAGTTCTGCAGGTGGCCTGAGAAGCAGATCTTCGTGTGGTTGTCTTGACCTCTTCAAGTAGGTGGATGGGAAGGTGAGCGGACATTCTCCCCCATCTGTCCTGCACACGTTTACCTTGAGCAGTACCTCAATTCATAAGCTTCCCATTACATAAGTCAGGGGGTGGATTTTACACAAGTATCTGTATTTGCATTTTGAAATTTTGGTTTTTATTATTACCTTTATACACCATCCACCCTGGAAACCACTAAGATTTCCAGTGGCAATAACAGTGACTGAATGTTTCTAGCGATGTGTACTCTGAGAAGTAAAGCTAAATGCTGTCCCTGCAACTGTCTCTCTAAATGCCCCATGAGATGGGCGTTTCTGTTATCTGCAAATGACAGATGTCTACAGTCCCAGCACTAGCATATCCTCAAGATTTCACTCAGGAAGTGTAACTCACAGCCCTTCAAACTGCTTTTAGAAAATAAATACAAACGCTACTTTTAAAAAGCCACTAGCTGTGTTAATTGACTTGAACTTTTCCTGATGTTGTATTTTTGGACAATATGAAATTTTTGATACCTTTTTTCCAATAAAAATCTAAGATTACTAATATATGTAATATTATTGTAAATTAGGCAAAAGAATCCAGCAGTTTCCTTATTCTTAATTTCCAAATGTGTCTTGATTCTGGATAAAACAAGGATTTATAATCTTAAAATGTCCTGTGCTATAGAATTGCTTCATCCCCAACCCCACCCACCCTCCTTTTGTCCCTAAACTCTCCAAGTTTTTAGGAGGGTCTTAACTATTTAAGAAACCCTCTCTGCTTCCCAGAGACTTACCCTTAAAAATTGGTGCTCCTAAAGTCACAGATTGGACACAGTAAAAATGATGGCATAAGGGAAAGAAGCACTATCTTTTCCACTTAATTTTCCAAGAAAGTATGAAGATACCTAAGCAGAGAGGGAACAAATTCCAGTATCAATGTGGCTGGTGGGAGACTAATAATCAAAGAAACGCTATTCCTCCTAGCCTGTAAAAGCAAGACAAGGAGAGGCTTCACTCCCAACAAAGAACAAAGCAAATCAATGCAAATCAATAGGATACACCCTACAGGCAAGCACCACAAAGTAGCTTCTATTCTCTCTGAAATTCCGAACCATCCCCACCCTCCGTATTTTAAAATTCTGTGGTCAATGAAAAATTATCCATTGTGATAAAGCAAAATTCACCTTGCTACTTTGTTTTTCCTTTTTAAAGAATTTTATCAAGTCCATACTAACTAATCTGAGAGCAGTTAAATGTACTTTGCCTATTTATTTAGTGCAATAAAGATCACGGAGTCTTCGCCTGATTTTTATAAAAGACTAGTCCAATTGGTCTTAAATATCTTTATGTCATAATACAAATGCCCACATTCCTATGTTTAAGTATGTTTATGAACAGCATTCTTGTTCTTATGAACAGAATTCTCCTGGAATTCTGGAATCTTGCTTGAACAGGCATTCTACAGAATACAGGCAATAATCCAAGTTTAAAAGGTATTTTGGAAACACAGCATCTCCATTTTGTCTCTAAGTAGTAGTAGTACTTTCTGGAGATGGAGAAAGCTTACCCCAACCATTTTCAAACCACATCTTCTAATGCTATAACACATGACCTGCCGAAATGAAAATTCACTTCCTCGCTCAGTCATACCACATAGGATGGGGTGCAGACAGACAAGGTACCAGCACAAGGGAAACAGCAACTGTCAGGAAATAAAAAACAGTATATTCCCATTTCCTGCATGCTCAAGGATCAGTCCATTCAAAAACCACATGGATGCAAGGAGGTTGCTTCTAGTATCCCTCAAGGTCAAACACTTTCTTTCATATGTTAACCTGTCAAGTTCAGTCTTTGCACTCTTTAAGTGAAAGTCAGGAGATGGACTAGGTACCTGGCAGTCTAGGAGAGCATATACTCTAATCGGAGAAGAGGCTAGGTTAAAGCTCTTTGGAAATGAAAACACGAAACATTCTACAGGGTATCTAACATGAAATTGCCAACTGCCCAAAGAAATGAAACTTGCCATTTGTCCAAAGAAGCTCACCCTTCCCTTCTGAGTTAGAATGTTACAGGTCTCAATCTGCAGAGCAAGAGACTGGAGATGAGAATTCACAAATACTTTTTAAATAAATGTTTTAAATGACCATCCCTATCATCTCCTTTTCCCACTGAAAAGTAAATGTTTTCCTCTTATGATTCCCAATGTCCAAGGCTCAATCTTCCTTGAATATTTAGGGGTCAGCTAGGCTGCCATTAAGTTCTGAATGGTAAATATGGGAGGTGAGGAATGTGTTCATTTTCAAGATAGTGGGAATCCTTCTATGATCTATATCAAATTGCCATGTATACATTAAATATCTCACTTTTTTGGGATTAATTATATCTCAATAAAGCTTAAAAAAGCAAAAGATGGCAGGGCTAATGGGGGAAAACAATAGGGGAGCACAGAGAATGTTGAGGGTAATGAAATACATTGCATATTGTATATGATACCATAAAGAGGGAGACATAACACATACATGTGTTCAAGCCCATAGACCACAATGCACCAGGAGAAAACCCTAAAGTAAACTATGGACTCTGGGTGATAAGGCTGTCTCAACAGAGATTCATCAACTATAGCAAAAGTGTATTCTGGGGGAGATGTTGATAGTGGAGGAAGTGGTGGGCGTGCAGAGAAGATGGCACATGGGAAATCATTATACTTTCTACTTGATTTTGTTGTGAACCTCAAGAAAGAAATTCTGAGTTTTAAAAATTGAAACTATACTTAAAAAAATATTATGAAGGAAGCTGATCTCCCACTGAGTAGCTAAATTTCCCCTTTATTGTCCAGTAAATAGGAGGTTGAGAGTGGTAGTGGTGGGATAGGGGGTGGTAGGTATAAGTTAATTCATTACCTTTAGACTGAACTGGGCCAGAGATAATGTGCATTTATAAGAATTTATAAAGATTTCTTTGAAACTCAAAATACATTTAATATCAACACTCCAAGCAGCAAGATCATTCTTGAAAGTGATATTAAAAACAGTTCTTGACTACATAGAATTAGGTATCATATTTAGAGACAAGTGACTGCAAATGGGCATAGTGTTTCTTTTTGGATTGATGACAGTGTTCTAATACTAGATTTTGCTGATGGTTGTACAACTCTAAATATATTAATAATCCACAAATGGATGAGGTTTAGGGTATGAAAGTATACTTCAATAATGCTTTTAAAAATGTATCAGACAAAATTTGTACCCTTTAGGTCAAATTTTTTCAAAATTGCTTTTAGTTGAATTTTCATCACATCTCCATTGCAAAAATTTTTGAAAATCATCCCCGTATAGCCAAAGTATGGAAATGACTCACATTTCTATCTGATAATCAGCAAAGAGGAAAAGAAGCCACTTAGCTGGTATGTCTCTTCTTGAGGGTATAGTGCAGGAGGGTACGCTTCTCACTCACAGCAATTACCCTCTTCCCAATGAAAGCTGCTAGAAACCCCTACCACCAACCGCAGAGATAAGTTATGGGGGAAAATTACTACCTACCTTTGTTCTTTGTCTCTCTCCAAAGGGGAACAAAACATGTGCAATTTTTTTAAAATGAGAAACATAAAAGCTTAGGATTCATAAGATAGAGCCAATCAAATCACAATCATCAAATGGTTTTCCTTTGTAAAGTGTATGGCAGCACCATCACTTTATAGAGAATCAAAGGCAGGCAGTAAAAAGATGGGTATCTATAAAGAGAGGAGTAAACTGGCCAAAGAAGTGCTTAGAATCCTTTTTTGAAAACCACCAGATCTGGATCAATGCCCTAAAAGTAGTGTGAATATTCTGGCCTGCCTGAGATGTTTCTGGTTGATGCCTGTAGTCCTGGCATAATTATTATGAGTCCTGTCCCCTCAATCCTTTCCTGACTTGAACAACAAATTACATGCTCCACTACAAAGGTAAATTGGGGGTGGAATAATTGTGCTGATCATACATCATGAATCAGTTTTGCCATGGTGCTACTAATAGGTTTATAACTCCAGAAAGGCCCTATAACCAAAGATAAGGCCAGCTGGTCAGGGAGCCCCCCCTTACACTCACGAATGCATCTGAGAGCAGAAAGTCAAACACATGCACATTAAAATCACCTGGCAACCTTTCTGTTTTTGTGAAGACTCATGATCCCTCCCGCCCTGGAAATTCTGTACACGTGCCTGCTTGAGAAAGTCCAATCTTGACCACCCACTTGTGTTTTAGAGGATGACAGAAGTAACAGACTATCCTGCAGTAATGTGTTTGAGTTAACTGGCTGGAGTTGCAAAACCAAGGCAACAGACCCAGTCTCCCAATTTCTACTGCTGGGACCCTAAGTTTGAGACCTCAGGCGCAGATTCAAGCTGTGTTGATATACTGGCCACCTCCTGTGATGCTTTCTTATCAGTCTCCAAAGCTCCCACTTCCTTGTTTTGACATGCACTTGTAAATCAGACCTTCCACTGGGCCAGGCATAGCCCGCCTGTTTGTTTTCATGGGTATGGGCTGTGCAAGCTCATGTGTCTGTGCATATACAACTGCATGGTACAAACAGGGACTTTTACACAAATGATCACAATAGAGATCATTTTTCCTTGCCTCCATGTTAAAAAAAAAATGGTAATTTCCAAGACAAGTGTTGCCAGAAATGTGAAATTTTCATATTTAGGGATTATTCCATTATTTAGAATTTGGTCTTACACTGCCATCCATTTTAAAAGTTTTTTTTTTTTAAAACCCATTTCAAAATAAATCTATTCACCGCATAACTGTAGCAGAAGTAGTTTGATCTTTTAAAGATATTTCCTCTGGCATGTAGAGATGTCTCAGGCTATGAGGTTCTGGTTACCCATGACTTTCAAGCTGCCTTTTCATTTAGGTATAATAAACCGTGAGAGACAGAGGGGCTGATAGCAATTTTTCAGGCTGGTATAAATGCCTTTCTGTAATAGTACAATGAGACGCCCATGGGAACACCCCGATAAAGCTGGCGCAGTGCCAGTATGGTTTCTTGTGCAAATGGATATTATAACTTCTACCTCTGTCTCACCTATTAAATGCCATGTGGCTATGGCAAAACAATAGGTTAACACCTCTCCTGGCACAGGAGAATCCACACCGATACAAAGTGTATTGTTTCTAGAATATCCCCTCATCCTTACTCTCTGTGCATCAGAAAGAAACCAATGTACCCAAACTCAAAGAACAGTAAAATTTGTCATTTGGTATCCTCATGACAGGAAATATTCTAGTTAATAGGAAGTTACTATGTAAACCTATTTTAATATTCAAAAAGCAATTTAAGATTTCATAGTGACTGAGGCTCACAGTAGTGATGAATTATACTCTGTGTGTTAGCTAAAATTGCATTCTGAACATAACAGCATTAGGTAAGAGTTTCCCTGGGGTGTTCAGTGATATTTCCCAGCACAGATGGATTAGGGATGTTCTGTCTAATGAGTCACCAGGTTTGAAGAAAAGGGGCAGCACTTTTCCTCTGTGGCTGTTAATGAACCAGAAGGCAGTCTGCCCCCTTGCTCTGCAGAGTCTGAAGGCAGAAGAGCTCACACTGCAGGGATGGAAGCTTGAGCTTCAATGGCAGGCTCTCTGCACTGCAGCCTAATGGCAAGTTTCTCAAGATGAGATGAGCACAACATTCTCCAAATGCAAACTTTCCAACCACCCTCTAAAAAGCTTATATGAGGCGGGGGAATTGTATGTGGCAACTAGGAAGCAAATAAAGTTTTCTGCTTGAATCCTTTGTCATTTAAGCCATGTTGCTGTTAAGCCCTGGTAACAAGATTTGCTCCAAGAAGAACACAATGGTTGCCACTTTTCAAGATTTGAGGTTAAAAATTAATTATCTGAGCTTAAAACTATCCTGTCCAGTTCTCAATATTGCATTACAAACAAAGAAAACTGACAAAAGCCAGCAAGCCAGGATGAGTCTTATCTAACCTATCCAAAATTTAGTTGACATTCTCGGTCTTTTTTGGGGAAAGTGGGAACACACTGCACAGCCCCCAGTGATCATGGATTGACTGAGAACAAGAGCTCTGGAGGCAAAAAACAATCTCTTATAGATTTTCTGCAGGCTCTCCTTATTCACTAGCCCCCTCACTGTTCCATAAAGTGAGGGTCTACTAATTTCTGCAATGACAGAATTAAGGTTATCTGTCCAGAAAATGCTCTTTTTGGACACATATATCTGCAAACATTTTAAAACCAATAAATTATATAATTTAAATGAGTGAACTATGTGGTAGGCTTGTGATCTCAATAAAACTGCTAAAAATTCTCAGATTTTATCAGCAAAAGTGGGGAAAAAAATCACAACCAAGAAAAAAGAAGTTGTCTTCAGTTGCTGCTTAAGCCATGTTGTTGATGCTGCACCACAACTGGGTCTGCTCTGAGGGGCTTTTCAAGGAACATCTCAAGACCCGAGGCAAGTCAGTGTGAGGGGCAGGGGCTGCACCACGTGCAGAACTCACTTAGAACAGGGGCTGATCACAGTCGGCGTGGGTGGGTAAACCAAGGCAACATTCACTCGCTCGCTGCCGTTCTTGGGGCAAATGATCTCTGCCACTCCTTCTGGTCTGGGCTGACTCAGCAACTCCCCTGCAGGAGAAGAGAGAAAACATATTAAGGAGATTGGCCTTAGACTGTGATAGAGGAGAGACACTGGAACTGCGGCTGAGTGGAGCATGTGCCCCCGCTGAGGTGTGAAGTTGCATTTCCTAAATGATAGAGTCATGTAAAACAAATGCAAAATCAATAACATCTGCTTAAAACAAACTGAGAATAGAATAGAATCCCTTCACAGAGAAATGCAGCCGTGGGGATGGGGAAACAGGGAGAAGGGCAGGTAATGAGGAAGCAAAGGGCTACAGAGGATGGAGTCAGAGGACAACCGTGCAGCCAGGTTGGCGGAACTAGATGGGCTCCCACTGCACTGCCTAAATTCTCATCTGTTATCATCGTGGAGAAGGTTCTAATAATGGCCACAGCAGGAAGACCATCCTTCCTGACAAAGACAGCATCTGCCAGCAGACTCCTCACCTTCCTTTGCAGACTGGCTCCCGAGATCTTTATCTAGAAGTGCAGCAAATTGAGCCAGGATCCCTAGAGCCCAGAGAAGCAAGGGCTGCCAGGAGGTGTTCTTAATTAGGATTCAGGGCAGATGGGATTTGGGCAGAGCAGAGCAGCCTTCCAACAAAGCCCTGCATGTATGATCTGGAAATGTAGCGGACTAAAGGTGTTATCAAGGTAAACAGCCCAGCTTCCTACTGGCAAGATTTCCTGCGCGGTATGTGAGACATATAAGCTATGTCTGAAACAGCTTATAAGCCATGGGGTCTAGTAAAAATAGATAATTAACTTAATGGATTTCCATAATACCTAAAGGAACTCTGTGCACTCTGCCTGCCCCAGATAGGATCTTTCTCCAACTAGAACATTAAATCCCTAAGAGTGGTAAAAACTTCCGTTCCTTATTTTCTACCCCTCGTCTGCTTACCCAGAGGGATCCTGCTTTCTTCTGGTCTCATGACCAGCACTCTACTCTGGTGCAGAAAGTATTCAGTAAATTGCTCTGGGTGATGATGGTGGACATTACTACCTAGATTCCCCTACATAAATCTAAATCTAGAAAGTTAATAAACCAAACCAAGAACACAGAGTACGCCAATGAAGAAAAGATGCTACTGCAATGAAAAGTCTACTCTATGGTAGCCATTACTTATATTATTAATTTGGGATTCCAGAGACACCCAAGAATGCAAGCATGTAATGATATAACATACTGTATTTCTGAATGTCTCCCTTTCAGCAGAACATGCCCACATGCCAGTACTGAATGAAGAGTTTGAAATGTCCATCTTGATTAATTTCTACAATGTCCCTATAAGGCTTATTCTCATTTTATAAGTGAGCAAATTAATACTTGGGGAAGGTTACGTGGTATGAAGAGAGTCAAGAGCTACCAAGTGGCAGACAGGGGTGGGGCCTTGGGAATGCATACCTTGGGTGCTTACCCTTCACCACCACCTCTAATAACTTATCACACCAGTGACTGCTTCTTTATGCCAGAAGACATATTTTCTAGAGGAACAAACGTTAAAAACACTATTTTTAAATAATGAACTAGGGGACTCCCTGGTGGTGCAAGGGGTTAAAGACATAGCACTATGAAGCTATTGGCAGCCACTGAAGCATGAGTTCAATCCCTGGCCAGGAAGGTGACCCACATGGCGCAGCAGACCTCTTCTGTCTCACCCGCTACTCCCCTCAGCAGTGTATTTCAGTGGATCTGCCTGTTCTGCTCCCCACTCTGTCTCTGGTGAATCCTCTCACCCCCCCATACCTCTGGCCTATATTGCAATTCTTGAATGTATAAATAAATCTTTAAAATAAAAAATAAATAATGAACTAAGCATTGACACATTTGTCTTTGATGAAAGACATTTATGTCCTTATTTGAACATTTTTATGTGACTTTGCCCAATATGAACTGAATGCAATTTGAATCCCTTAACCAGCTATTATAAACACCAAATCACCGCAAACACTAATTTAACATCATTAGCGTGTATCACAGATACACGGATGTGAATGATACTGTAATCCCAACTAGGAAAAGCTCCCAAAATATAAGAACACAAGTTAAAAAGTATAAATTAATGTTTTTAGTTAATGATAGTATTAAATGTTATCAAAGCAATAAAACAAAGTTGCATAAATAACATGTTAGCACAGGCTGAAACTTGGAAGTCATCCAGGCTAAATACCACTGAAGTACAAGTCAGAAAATCTGTGTATTCACCAGATTTGCTCCAAATCCCATCAAGAGCTGTGCATCTTTAAGCCAAACCACCAACCACATGGACTAGACAAGAAGGTGCTTGGAACCCCCAGCTTCTCAACACCTGGTCCTAGACCATGTCCCCCAACCCGGTTCCTCACCTGATGTCTTCAACTTCGACCATCTGTCCTAAGATTACCCCCAAGGCTTGAAGAGACTTTGTGGGCTTTGTGCATCCCTGCTGTCCCCTGAGAGCTCTCCTACTGGAATCTCATGCAGGCCTGGGCTCTGTCTGCTTTCAGCTAGCTGCCGGTGCCCAGGACCATCATTGCCTATGGCAAGCAACCCCTAGGTACTGCCCCTGGCACCAGCCTGGCGAGGCAGGCTGGCTTCCTTGCTGGGTATGCATTAAGTTTTAGTGAGCAGAAAACCTGTTTGCCAGATAATTAGAAATGATATGTAGTAGACTATTTAGTGCTGGTTATTAATGTCTATTAAACCAACAGCTTTACTGTTTCTCCCCCTCTCTAGGGCTCCCAGCATCACACAGGACCTGTCCCCACTACAGAAACAGTGCAAAGGTGGAAGGCATTGAGAAGTGTCACCATATGAAACATTCACCTGATACTACAGAATACTGAGCATCAAGCAGGACAGTCCCTGACCTTCAACACCCCTGTGCCCTCTTCAGCCAGTAGCAGGTGTCAGCATGCTCAGGCTGGATGAAATGGACCCAGCTGCTAGATTAAGAAAATATGAAAAAGTTTATCCTCTAAAAAAAAAAAAAAAAAAAAAAACCTATCTTAGCACATATGTGAAGAGTGGTTTATAATGTGTAATATCTACTAAAGTAGAAGCTAATCATACCACATTTCTTTAACACAAACTTGAGTTTAAATCGAAAGTACAGTCATTCGTTGGTCATCTAATTGTGGAGACTTCACTGTGTGAGTGAATTATACAGCAATTGTTCATAGAAACACTATTTATAAAACAGCGAAAACTTGGCAACCCTCTCCTATGTCTGACAATGGGGAAATGATTAGAAATTGACACATTAATGAGATGGCATTTTTTGGAGTCATTAGAAATTATGAGACTGGCATTTCTATATGGAAATGTAAACTTGAAAGTATATTCTCATTAGAAAAAGACTACAAGGAATACAAATGAATTTTGAGTGAAACAAGTCATTTGAGATTAAATGGTGCCAAGGTTGTTTATGTTTGTATCGATAGTAAAAAGAAAAAAATTAAGTATGCTCCACACTGATGGGAGAAGCCAGCCTGAAATGCTGCTTTCTCCTCTGCTGGAGACTGTCTAGTCACATCCACTTTACAATGCAATCAGTCTTTCTGGAGATGCAGAAATGGGGCCTGATGAATGGACATTGCATTGACTGAAGCTGTATTAGGTCACTGCAGTCTCCCTGTGCCCATTAAAGTTATGAAAAACGGCTTTTAATTACTCTGGCTCAAGATTTCTGGCACTGACATGCTAACAAACTCTTATTAACTATTCTTCCCATGGTGCAAGAACAGAACAGGAATTTTATTATTATTATATTTTAAACCAACAGAAGATGTGAAATGAGCTCATCTTCTTCAGCTAATCAGAGTTCTCAACTATTGGGCACATTGTGCAAAATACTAAAAACCTTTCATACTGACAACAGAAACCACAATATGAAAAGTCCACAGTGTATTTTTTCAGTGCAAATAAAACCTGCCTCCTAGTCCAGGGTAAAAATCTAAGTTATGAACATTCTCCCAAAGAGCATAAGGGGTCTAGAAATGAAAACAATTTTTAATACTTACATAGATACCATTCAGTAAGAAAGTATCTATATGCCTTCAAGACCTCTTTCTGCTCCAATATTTCAAAAATTACTCCAAAGTCCCCTCTGTTTAATAAGTGCGTGTGGCTCTGCATGTGACTGCAAGGACCCACCAACACATGCCTCCCTTGACGCTGAACTCAGTGAGCAGGAAGGTCCCCACTTTGCAAGCCACCAATTTATCAGAGCCAGCTGGGACTGCAGAACTCTGTGGTCATTTTTATATGCAAGAGGAAATTCAGACAAATAAAAATGAAAAATGAAAAACAAAAGCACAGAAATATCTGCACAGGAGAAATCAACACTGAACAACAGTAAAATGTTCAATTTTAAATGTGCCACTGTGCGCACTTAAGAATGTGAGAAAAGACAGCAGAAAGAATCTACTCAGTTTTGTTTTGTTTTTTTAAAGATTTATTTATTTATTTATACAAGCACTGGGTACAGTCAGAAGCGCGGGAGGATGAGAGAATTCACCAGAGCTAGAGTGGGGAGCAGAACAGGCAGAGTAACGAAGTACACTGCTGAGGGGAGCAGCAGGCACGGCAGGAGAGTTCTGCGCACCATATGGGACCCTCGCCCAGTGGCTGGGGATCAAACCGGTGCTGCAGAGGCTGCAGGCAGCTTCACAGCCCAGCGCTCAACCGCTGCGCCACCAGGGAGGCCCCAGAATCTGCTCAGTTTTTATTGGTTCCAACATGACTGACTATTTGTGGATGGAGCTGCCTTTTCCTACTTGGGCCCCCCACAGCTGCACCTCATCCACTGTGCTGCTTCCTGCAGGACTGTGGCTGGGTGGCTCCTGCTTGGCCGCTGCTCAGAAGAAATAAAATAAATAGACCAGGTTGTACTTCTTGGTAGTCCTGACTTCAAAAAAAATTGCATTTTGTGAAGTGACTGTGCTCTTGGCCCTTTGATCATGAATTATAACTAATTTTAGAAGAGAAAGTGACGTGCAGCAAGAAATGCCAAAAGTCTGTG